TGGAAAATTTTAGAGGGCTAAACGGCAGAAAGCGCGTCCAAAAACTTATAGGAATGAGGAAAACAAACTAGACCTTCATAGCCTCCAGCACCCCTTCTTTTGTAAAGTAAGGGATTAGCTGAGTAAGTTGTCGGCGTCCTAAGACGTGGAGGCCCACCTCGCTGCAGATACTTTGAAGAAACAACACCAAAAATGGACATCGGATCTGTGAAGAAGTTATCTGAAGAAACCAGAAACATAACGCAACGTATAAGAAATTCACAGCGATATTCCCCTCCCCAAGTGATTATACTGGTAGTTCCCAATATTCTGATGTGTTGCAAGTGTACATTTATGAGAAATTTGACTGAAGCAAATGATATGTGGCACTGGAATACACCTGATGAGGTGAAACACGGTCCAGGATACTGGTATGGAGCAAAAAATTCTGCTGGACCATTCGGGATTAAAACTGGACGTCCTCGACTGCTGTGAATACCATGCAAAGTAGTTTGCATGTAATCAACTGGGCCATTAGTCGCTGCATAATATGTCTGACAGTACTGGTGATACAAATGCCACAGCTGTTCATTCCTTGAACCATACGTTGCGCCTGCTTAATGACAGTTACTTGATAAATAGAAAGAGCAAAGGCTCGAATGCAAAACTATGAGCTAACTATCAGAAAGCAGTGAATGTATTTCCGTTTTTGTTTTGAAAATTAGTGCAATCCGGCAATTTGCCTTTATAAATTTTGGCTTCAAAAGATCAAATATATAGTTTTTGAAAGAGTAGTCACCAAGCAAAAGAAAAAAAAGCCATAAAATGTTTAATAAACAATCTAAACCAGCTAAGTTAAAATGAGAACATGTTAATATGCAATCTGATTAGGGAAACAACTAATCCTTACCATGACATCCAACACTACTTTCATTATTCTCTCCTTCACTCACCTTCCCTGCAACTTCAGTCTCAGGAGGATTTATTAATTCGGTTTTCGCAGAATTACTGGGAATCGCACTAGTAGCACTCTGCTCAGGGGCACAGACTCCTTTCTCAAGCTTTACTTTTTCTACCTGTTTATCCTTCAATAAGGAGAACCTAATTTTACTATCATTCTGTTCTCTTCCACTACTGTTTGTCGCCTT